GTGAGGACATGTTCCCTAAAAAAAAAACCCCCCCAAAAAAAAAAAAAAAAAAAAGCTTCATAAGGGATGTTGCTTAGTTTAAGGAAAGTGCTTCTTGAGGGGTACGACTGGTGTTCCAGGTGGGATACCCTTCCATGGAGGAGAGCAAGGGCAGCCCAGCTCAGAGTCTGCCTGAGCTTGAATTGTGAGCAAACACATTATCATTACTGGCTCCCAGTATGGAGGGCCAGCCGGACGCCCCACCCTCGATCCTGAAGTCATATGTACACACACACATACACACTCACTCACATTTCCAGGAGGCCTCCGTAGGAATGTTAAGGCTATCACTGAGAATCACTGCAACCCCTTCAGATGGAATCCATTCACAAACCCAGCTCAGAGAAGGCTTCTCGAGCACAGATTGCTTGAACCTTCTCCAGAATCTCTTTCTTCCTACTTGCCCTCCTCCTCACCTCTTCTTTCTTAAGGTCAGCCATAACCTGGCCCACACTCAATACACTTCTCAGCCTTTTCCCGGTTATACAGCTCTCCCTCCCTCCTGGTATCTTTCCCAGCAATAGCTCTGCTTCTTTTGCTTGACATGCCTCCTACCCATGCTTTTTCCAGCCTATTAATCTGCCCAGGCCTGACTTGTCCTTTTCCTATGACCCTATCCTACCCCCAAGTCAGCTCTAAAAACCTTATAGCTGGTTCCCCAGGGTTTGTCTCTGATGCAGTCTCTGTCTCCTGTGTTCTGCCTTCTCTGCTGAATGGGACACTCAGCTTGCTAAGGACAGGACCCACACCTGTCTCTCACCAACTGAACCTGACACAATGAGAGACAGCAAATCCCTAGACAGATGTCACTCTGTAGATTTCAAAGATCTTGATAAAAATGGACCACTTAGAGCCAGCTCCATGGCACAGTAATAATGCCCTTCTCTAGAGAAGCAGGATCCCATATGGTAACGATAGTTTGAATCCCCAGCCCAGTCTGCTTGAAATGCTCCAGACACTCATGTGAGTGACCAGGATCCACTAGGAGGGAGTCACAGATTAGAATAATGACCATAATCTGTGAGGGGTGTTCATTTCTTTCTCTGTCTCTCTTGGGCACACATAAGTTCTACTATAATAAAGAAAACAAGAACCCAACCACTTATCCTGGCCTACTGCCTACCTGTGATGAGAATCATCAGGGTTTATCAGCCAGGGCAGTACCGGGGCCAGGGAAAGCTTCATCACCCCGCTAGCTACCATTCTGAGTAATGGGTATAAAGGGAGGTTGGTACCAACAGGTGACAAACCAACCACCTGAGAGAGACATTCTGTCTTTGGCACACACTAACCTGTTTGCACGACGGCAGTGGATGCTGAGACTGGCCCAGGTGTGTACACCTCTCCATAAGGCCTGCTGTCAGTTTATGCTGAGACACATGACAATGACAGAAGTAAACAGCATAGCAAGGGTCATTACCTTCTTCTTCTTCTTCTTGCTGGAGATCAGTACTGTCTTTTAAGTCTTCATCCACCCAAGGGCGAGCCTCAACCCTGGCTCCAGCCTCCCCCCTTTTTTCCTCAGTGCTTCTATCTGCATTTTTAAAGATCCACACAACCAAAATGCAGACAATTGCTACCAAGACTGGAGTCAGAAAAAACATGGTCAGGGTCTGATCCAGGACATGCACACGCTTCCCACACTGGTACTTAAACAGAGGCTGGAGTGGGGAATGCTGGGAGATAGAAGGAAGGAGGGGTGTGCCCAGGAGAAGTGCAGAACTCTTGAACTCTGTGAGGCCTTTGCCAGAGACCAAAGATCGCAATCATGCGTATGTGGGAGGTGCTGCGGGATTGGTCATGCTCCAGCACACTTGCTTTTTTAAACTGTGTACTCAATCAATACATTCTTAGACAAGAACTGCCAGCATCTGAGTAAATGCTTTAATGCACTTGATCTTGCTCGCAGTGGTAAAAAGCACGTCATTTTCTTTTACATAAGTTTTCTCTGAGGGCAATGTGTATCTACAATTTGATTAGAGCCAGGAATTGTCTGGAGAATTTTTTTCTTTCTTCTTTTTCCAGAGGGAGTATGTGCTCAAGGGAGAGATGTGATTTTCAAGCCACTTGATCTGGGACTCAAACCACAGTCGGCCATGTGGACCAAGACTGGAGTCAGAAAAAACATGGTCAGGGTCTGATCCAGGACATGCACACGCTTCCCACACTGGTACTTAAACAGAGGCTGGAGTGGGGAATGCTGGGAGATAGAAGGAAGGAGGGGTGTGCCCAGGAGAAGTGCAGAACTCTTGAACTCTGTGAGGCCTTTGCCAGAGACCAAAGATCGCAATCATGCGTATGTGGGAGGTGCTGCGGGATTGGTCATGCTCCAGCACACTTGCTTTTTTAAACTGTGTACTCAATCAATACATTCTTAGACAAGAACTGCCAGCATCTGAGTAAATGCTTTAATGCACTTGATCTTGCTCGCAGTGGTAAAAAGCACGTCATTTTCTTTTACATAAGTTTTCTCTGAGGGCAATGTGTATCTACAATTTGATTAGAGCCAGGAATTGTCTGGAGAATTTTTTTCTTTCTTCTTTTTCCAGAGGGAGTATGTGCTCAAGGGAGAGATGTGATTTTCAAGCCACTTGATCTGGGACTCAAACCACAGTCGGCCATGTGGGAATCTAATGCCTCAACCACCATGACACCTGCTGGCCCCTGGAGAACATGTTCTTAAGAGAACAGATTTCTGGCTACCAACTCACATCTGCTGAAAAAATTTCCAGGAATGAAACCTTGTAAGTAACCCTCGTTTTAAATGAAATGTTTGTGAAACACTGACTTTAAGTTTTTGTTTTGTTGGGACCAGCAGTTAGCGTGATGGCTATGTTGCTGGACTCCCACGTAGTCGACCGCAGTTCGCATCCCGGACCCGGTGGCTTAAAACTCACGCCGGTCACATGTGTGTGTGTGCTCAAGATCCTGAGAGGAGAATGGAGGAGAAGGGACTGCAGCATGGCCATCCCTCCTGGGGGATGATTTCCCGCTTTCTGTCTCTCTGTCTCTCTCTGTCTGTCCGGCGAGCGCACGCGCCCTATAGTGAAAACCTCTCCAAAAAAAAAAAAGTTTTTGTTTTGTTTTGTTTAGGACACCTGAGTCAATATATGGAGTGAAAAAAATATCATGTTTTGCATTAGAGAAAAAATTTAATCCAGAAAAATAAAGACAAAAAATAATTAGGACAATTCAATAAATTATATAACAACTGAAGTAAGTTTTCTGTTTCGTTTTCATGTTTGTTTGTTTGTTTTGTTTTTTGGCAAGTGTCTTAGTCAATTCTGATTGCTATAACAAAAAATATCATAGACTGGATAGCTTAAACAATGAAAATTTGTTTCATAGTTCTGGAGACTGGGAAGTCCTGGATCAAATTGTAGCCAGCTTGGTTTCTGCTGAGAGCTCTCTTTCTGGCTTATAGGCAGGTTTCTTCTTCTACTTATTCTTTTAAAGAAATTATTTATTTAACTCCAGTTATTATTATTTTTTAATTTGAAAAGGCAGAGACAGAGAGAGAAAGGGAAGCCGCCAGGTCTGGGATTCTAGCCGCCATTGGTCATGTGGGAATCCAGAGCCTATAACCACCCACCGCTTGTCAGCCCCTAGACAGGCATCTTTTTGTTGTAACGTCACACAGTGGATAGTGGATGTCTCTTCTTAGGAGACCACTAATTTTGTTAATGAGGACTCCATCTTCTTCACCTAATTACCTCTCAAAGCACTATCTCTAGATACCATCAACACTGAATCGAGGAGAAATGCAAACATTCAGTCTATAATGGCAAGATACCAAAGGATGGATAATACAATACCATCGGAGTAAAATAGTGAAAAGTATAAATTTATGTGTGCTCATATATTCATAATCTTGCATGGAATACTGTAAGTTGTGAGCCATGATTATATCAGGATTTATCTATACTAGTTTTGCAATTTTGTGTGAATCTATATTTATTTTTAAATGAAAAGTTAAAATAGCAAATGATGCAGAAAAAGCATTCGATAAGATGATCAAGACTCTCAGCAAAATTGGCGTTTCTCAACATAATAAAAGCTATCTATAAAAAAACCATAGTTAACATCATCCTGAATGGTACAAGACAAGGATGCCTCTTACTACACTCTTTTTTAATATAGTACTGGAAGTCCTCGCCAATGCAATCAGAAAAGATAATAAAATAAAAGGCATTCAAATAGGAAAAGAAGAGGTGAAACTATCTCTATTTGCAGATGATGTGATGGTATACATAGAAGATCCAAGGGTATCCATGAAAAAAATCCTGGAAGTAATACATGAATATAGTAAAGTTACAGGATACAAAATCAACATACAGAAATCTATAGCATTTCTATATATGAACAGCAGGCAGACTAAGATAGAACTGATAAAAGTAATTCCATTTACCATAGCCACAAAGAGTATAAAATACCTAGGAATAAATCTAACCAAAGGAGTTAAAGACCTCCATGAGGAAAACTACAAGAAGCCAAAAAAAGAAATTGAAAATGACACAAAAAAGTGGAGGGACATCCCATGTTCCTGGATTGTAAAAATTAATATAGTCAAAATGGCAATTCTACACACATTAATCTGCATATTTAATGCAATCCCCATTAAAGTGTCAGAGACATTCTTCACAGATCTAGAAAAGACATTCATACAGTTTGTCTGGAATCATAAAAGACCTAGTATTGCCAAAGCAATCCTGCACAAGAAGAGTGGAGTGGGTGGCATGTCACTCTCAGACCCAAAAATATGATACAAAGCAGTGGTATTGGCACAGAAACAGACATGTAGACCAATGGAACAGAATAGAGTCCCCAGAAATAAACTCTCCCAAACATACAGCCAACTGATTTTTGACAAAGGGTACCAGTCAATCCAGTGGGAAAAGGAAAATCTCTTTAGCAATTGGTGCTGGGAAAAACTGGATATCCACCTTCAGAAATGTGAATCTGAACCCCTACCTCTCACCATTGACAAAAATCAACTCAAAGTGGATCAAAGATCTAAACCTAAGACCTCAAACTATAAAACTGCTGCTATAAAACACTGGGGAAACTCTGGGAGATATTGGAGTAAGCAAAGACTTCTTAAATAAGACCCCCAAAGCACAGTCAATAATCCCAAAAATAGACAAGGGGGATTACATCAGATTAAGAAATTTCTGCATGGCAAAAGACACAGTAGTTAGTGTGAATCGACATTCCTCAGAATGGGAAAATATTTTGTAAACTATGCCTCAGATAAAGGACTGATAACCAGAATACACAAGGAACTCAAGCGGTTGTCCCCAAAAAAGATGATCGACCCTATTAGACGATGGGAGAATGAGTTGAAAACACCACTCTCTGAGGAAGACATATGAATAGCTGAAAGGCATATGAAAAAATGCTCAACATTCCACATTGTAAGAGAGATACAAATCAAAACCACTATAAGATACCACATAACCCCGGTCAGAATTACTAAGATAAAAAAAAAAAAATGGTAAGTGCTGGCAGGGGTGTGGTGAAAGGGGAACTCTCCTACACTGCTGGTGGGAATGTAAACTGGTCCAGCCACTCTGGAGAACATTTTGGAGATTTCTCAAAGATCTGCAAATAGAACTACCATATGATCCAGCAATTCCACTCCTGGGTATCTACCCAAAGGACAGAAGAATCTTTAGTTGGAAAAGTGCTTGCACATTGATGTTTATCGCAGCACTATTCACCATTGCTAAGACATGTAACAACCCAAATGCCCACGAACAGATGAATGAACTGAAAAAATGTGACACATATACTCTATGGAATACTGCTTAGCCATAAAGGCTTTTGACAGAATGTGGACAAATATGGAAGGTTTTTTTTTTTTTTCCTACTGATTCAGGTAAGCCAGGCTATGAAGGAGAGACATTGTATGTTTCCACTTAATATTTACTGATTGTCCACACTCTATGGCCAAAACTTAATGACTAAAGGATATAGAAACATAGTAAATGGTTATAAATACCAGATACAGTGTGGGAAGAGAATGGGTCAAGGAGTAGAGTCTGAGAAAGGACGTTAAGGAGAAAAATAGAGAGGCAAGTCATTAATGGGACAAAGAAATGGGTTATTATCTATTGAAGATAACTTTATAGTATTGTTAACTGGACTGGTGAGAAATGTAACACATGCTGGAATATTCACTTTGCAAGTTAGGTAACATGGGATTGAATGTATAAAATAACATGTGATAACATAATAAAATGTATGAAATTTAAAAATTAAAGAAAAAATAGTACTTACTTGTTTAAAAAAGTGGGTGTCATAATTGGGTAGATGGGGACAAGGGTGGGAGAGAGAATTTTTCCTATATACTATTCCAAAATTTGGGAATTTTAAACTATTATGAGTATATTACTATTCAAAAACTTAAATAAATATGTTATTTATTTCCACAATTGTTTGTATTCTATATGGTATGTGTGTGTGTGTGTGTGTGATAGATGACATTGTTTAGTGTATGTGGTACTGGGTCTAACTACAGAGAACTGTGTAAAAGTCTGTAGGCAACATTTATTACAGAAGAACGTGCTCTGTAGGGGTCACATGGGTTGAGGTGGTGCTGACTGCCCTGCCCATAGCTCTTGTAAAGAGCACTGCCCTCTTAGGCTCTGCTGAAAGGGCAGGAGAGCTGGCCATGGGGACCCAACCAGTCCATATTGTCCAACCCCACTCCGGTCCTGATGATGGGCAGCAGCCTGTTTTGGGGCCCAGCTCATCTTTCATCCCACTAAAAATGCGCAAATAATAAATCCCATGGCAGCGAAGAGGAGCAAAATGAACATACAGAGAGAAGTAAGACTTGTAGGGCAGTGACACAGCATAGCCCACGTGAAAGACAGAGTGAGGGGCCGTGGGCCATGATGGACTCATATCCTGGAAAGTCTTGGCTCAGATTCCTTTTCAGCCCACATGTGACCTCACACTGAAAAGATCAGAGTGACCCTCTGTTTCTCTAACCACAAAAGCACAGCTCAGACCAGTGCCAGGAACAAGACAAACCCAGAAGAAAAGTGGGCGATGGGATCTGATGATAGCACGGAGGTGTGTACTGGTGTGAGATGCCCCCATCTCCATATGGACCACTGATGGCCTGTGGGGTGCAGTGGCTGGCCAGCTAACCAAAGCGTTGCTGGAATCCCTTGGGTTTCAGACCTGGTGCCCACCTTCTGAAATCATCCATAACCCTAGACGT